AGTGGCAGGATCTTGGCTCACTGCAACCTCCACCTCCCACGTTCAAGCAATTCTCCTGCCTCAGCGTCCCGAGTAGCCAGGACTACAGGTGTGTGCCACCATGCCTGGCTAATTTTTGCATTTTTATTTTTTTAGTAGAGATGGGGTTTCACCATGTTGGCCAGGCTGGTCTTGAACTCCTGACCTCAGGGGATCCACCGGCCTTGGTCTCCCAAAGTGCTGGGATTACAAGTGTGAGCCAACTGTTTCTAAGTTTTAAACTTTTTTAAGGGATGAGGACTCAACTATGTTGCCCAGGGCAGACTCGACCTCCTGGGCTCAAGCGATACTCCTGTCTTCACCTCTTGAGTAGCTAGGACTCCAGGCCATGCCACTGTGCCTGGCAGCCTCTTTTTTTGGAGACAGAGTCTTACTTTGACAGGCTGGAGTTCAGAGGCACGATCTCGGCTCACTGAAACCTCCGCCTCCCGGGTTCAGGTGATTCTCCCGCCTCAGCCTCGTGAGTAGCTGGGATTACAGTCATGCACCACCACACCTGGCTAATTGTATTTTTAGCGGAGACCAGGTCTCACCATGCTGGCCAGCCTGGTCATGAACTCCTGACTTCAGGTGATTTGCCCGCCTCAGGCTCCCAAAGTGCTGGTATTACAGGCGTGAGCCACTATGCCTCACTTGGCACCTTTTTTTGAGACGGAATCTCGCTCTGTCACCCAGGCTGGAGTGCAGTGATGCAGTCTCAGCTCACTACAACCTCTGCCCCCCTGGTTCAAGTGATTCTCCTGCCTCAGCATCCTGAGTAGCTGGGATTACACTCATGCCACTATGCCTGGCTAAGTTTTGTATTTTTAGTAGAGATGGTGTTTCACTATGTTGGTCAGGCTGGTCTTGAACTCCTGACCTCGTGATCTGCCCACCTCGGCCTCCCAAAGTGCTAGGATTACAAGCGTGTGCCACTGTGCCCAGCCTTGGCAGCCTCTTTTTAAAGAGAGACCTGCTGAGTCCGTGGCGTGGAGTTCAACCACAGGAGGTGTGGCCCCCACCGTCACCTCTTAGGGAAAGTACTTGATGGTTTACAGCGAGTATTTAATTTTGAGGCAGGGTCTCTCACTCTGTCACTAAGGCTAGAGTGCAGTGGTGTGATCCTAGTTCACTGCGGCCTCAACCTCCTGGGCTCACGCAATCTTCCCGCCTCAGCCTCCCAAGTAGCTGGGACTATAGGCATGCACCATGGTGCTGGATGAATTTTTAAACTTTCTATAGAGAGACAGGGGTCTCACTTTGTTGTCCAGGCTAGTCTTGAACTCCTGGCCTCAAAGGATCCTCCCGCCTCAGCCTCCCAGACTGCTGGGATTGCAGGCGTGAGCCACTGTGCCCGGCCAGTAGCAAGTTTTTGTTTGGGCCCTGTAGTAGGAACACTGGGAGGCAAGGGCTGTCCTCAGTGAAGACTGAGCTCAGAGAGGGGAAGGAACATGCAAGGCCTCCTAAGCCACCAGCGCACCCTTGAAGGAGCAGAGTTCACTTCAGGCATGTCATGTGCACCCCACACATGGCCTGAGTCAGGTGGGATGAGCGTTCCCATTTTACAGATGAGGAAACTGAGGCTGAGACGAGAGAGGGACTTGGCTGGGTTTCTCAAGGGTGGAGTGGGGGTGAGTGAGGCTCCTTACTCCCAAATCCAGCCAGGGTTGGCTGTGGGACACGCACTCAGGTGGATGTAGTGCCTCAGGCCTCCCTGTCCTTCCTCCCCCAATCTCTGCAGGCCCTGGTGGACCTCCTGCTGGTTAGTGGCGCAGCCACAGCCACCACCGTGTCCTGGTACCGGGTGAGCCCACTGGCTGCCCGCCTGCTCTACCCCTACCTGGCCTGGCTGGCCTTTGCGACCACACTCAACTACTGCATATGGCGGGACAACCGCGGCCGGCGTGGGGGCCGGCAGCTGCCAGAGTGAGTGTCCAGCCCGCCAGGGACTGCAGCAGCACCAGCAGGCCCCATCAGAGGTGGTGGCCATCACGCTTTCACGACCACTGGGCCTGGTACTCTGTCCCGGCCTGGGCCCACAGGGTCAGCAGCAGCTTCAGAGGGGGCCCGGCCTCAGCCCTCACCCGGGAGCAGCATCCTGTGCTTTCTGCATGCTCAGAGCATGTTCTCAGAACATGGAATTTTATAAGCCAAATAAAGTTTTAACTTCCTCTGTCATGGCCTTTTTGCTTGGGTGGGACCCTGGCCACAGGGAAGAGGAGCTGCTGGGGCCGTGCTGGAGTTCATCTCAGTGGGACCTGCCTGCGCCCATTTCTCCAGACAGGGCTGGATCCAGCGGGGGCTGCCCCAGGCTTCCCCCGACGCTCCTGGAGCCCTGCAGATGAATGGAGGAGTCTTGGATGCCATCCTGGAGCCCACACTGGCTCAGACCGAGCTGGGGCTGTGGGTGTCGGCAGAGGGAGGGGTCTTGTCTGCTTCTCATGGCTTCCAGGTTGCTCAGCCCAGGCCCTTGAATGGCCAGGCCCATAACCAGCATCCGATGCCTGGTCCTGCCCGGTACGTGGCCCTCAGCTGGTTTTGTCCAGGACAGAGCTGGGGGTGCTGACTGCCCCATCCGCCAGGTACCCAGGCTTATGCCGGCCTCACTGCACCAGGGGAAGCCCCACAGGCACCCAGTTGGCTCAAGGGGGTGTCAGAGGCAGGAATGATTAGGTCCCAACTCAAGCAGACCAGGCCTCCTTGCTGGCCCAGAGCGGGGTCACCGCCAGTCTCTCCCTCACCTGGGCTTCCAATTGGGCAACCCATGGCCTCTCCAGGCAGCTATTTGGGGTAAATGAGTCCCAAACGCTCCGGTCCTGCGACTGGTCACCACACCTATGCAGCACTCAGCAGCACAGCCTGAGGCTCCCTCCCCTCTGCCAGGCCTGACCTGCTGGGCTTTTTGTTCTTTTTGGTGGCTAAGTTCATTCAAATTAGCAAAATGTTCATAGACAGCTCATCATCACCCAGCAGCCCGAGGCTGCTGCTTCCTCTCCTTTCTCCCCTTACTCTTACGTCCTTCCCTGACCCGTACGCTCAGAGTGCCGTGGCTTACACCTGTAATCCCAGCACTTTGGGAGGCTCAGGACGGAGGACTGCTTGAGGCCAGGTGTTTGAGACCAGCCTGGGCAACACAGAGACATAGGGAGTCTCCGACACAGGCTGTCTCCTGTACCAGCATGCTGGTGAGTGTGCGCCATCTCCACAGGGCACGGGGTGGCCTTCGAAGTGTCAAGGGACACCTGAGTGCACGCCAGACACTTAGGGATGGAAGAAAGTGCAACCCAGCCCCAGACTTCTGGGGTCTTTCCAGTGAGGCATGTGCCTGTGTTTCTCATCTCCACCACCTGTGGGGTTATTCATCTGTAGCAAATGTCCCACATAGCTCCTGCTGGCCACAAAACATGTAAGGCCACAAAAACGCCCTGGAAAAACGGGCAAGAGGAGAACTCATTTAGCATTTTGTCTGCTGGCTTCCTGTTAACAGCCTGGCGATGTTTCCCCTGCTCATAAAAGCATTCCCCCCTTTTTTATCTGAGACGGAGCCTCAGTCTCTTGTCCAGGCTGGTGTGCAGTGGCACGATCTCTGCTCACTGCAATCTCTGCCTCCCGAATTCAAGCAATTCCCCTACCTCAGCCTCCCAAGTAGCTGCCACCATGCCTAATTTTTGTATAGAAGAGACAGGGTTTCATCATATTGGCCAGGCTAGTCTCAAACTCCTGACCTTGTGATCTGCCAGCCTTGTCCTCCCGAAGTGCTGGGATTACAGGTGTGAGCCACCCTGCCCAGCCTATTCCTCTCTTTTCTAAGATGTTGTCATCCACTAGGGACTTAAGGCTTTGATGTTTCTGCGTGGGTTTATTATTTTTTGAGACAGAGTCTTGCCCTGTTGCCCAGATTGGGGTGTAATGGCATGCTCAGCTCACTGCAGCCTCTGCCTCCGGGGTTCAAGTGATTCTCCTGCCTCAGCCCCCTGAGTAGCTGTGATTACAGGCATGCACTACCTTGCCTGGCTAATTTTTGCATTTTTAATAAGATGGGATTTCAACATGTTGGCCAGCCTGGTCTCGAACTCCTGACCTCAAGTGATCCAACCACCTCAGCCTCCCATAGTGCTGGGATTATAGGCATGAGCCACTGTGCCTGGTCAATTCTGGCTTTGGATGGATTCTTAATGCAGAGTGACAAGGGTGGGGTGAGTACCAGGAAGAAGCATTTAGTGGGATACACATCTCCACGGCAACTGCCTCAGCTTGTGGAGCTGGCTGGTATCCCGGCTCTTGAGTCCCTGGCTGTTGGCCTTCCTTGGGGGTGTCCATTTGCAGTGAGCAGAGATACAAGGACATGTGGGGACAGAGAACAGACATCTGCAATCATGGAAAGCCTGGACCATGTGGTCCTGATTCTGGGGGCTGTCCCAGTCTCCCTGGGTGGGCCTATCTCCTGGGCAACGGGTTTTAAGTGAGCTGGAAACCAGTGAGAGCACCGGCCAGTGCGCTTCAAGATAAGAGTCCGTGTGGGAATCAGTCCTGAGGCCTCCCCTCGAAGGGAGGCTCCGGGGAGAAGCAGTGGGGTCCACGTAGCCTGCCTAGGGGCCACTCTGCCTTCTGCATCTTAATCTCCCTGGTCACCATGTGGTGCTGCTGCCACCCCTCATGGCATCCATGCGTCTGCCCAGCAGTGGCCCACAGAGCCCTCCAGACGCCCCAGCAGCCAGGGTTTCTTACCGTCCCCCTATAGGATGAGGAGGCAGGTGAGGGAGGCCGCTATCTTCAGGGCCACTAGGGCTCCCAGCCAGCTCAGAACTGGAACCAGCGTAGGGAATCACATTGGGGTGGAGGCCTGCGGTCTAAGGGCCATCTTCTTTCTTCTCCCACTTTCTCAAGGTGACTTCTTGGTCTTTGGGGCTTTTCAGCGACAATAAGGGTGACAGGCCATGCTGAGCCTGTGGCTCCAGGATCCAAAGAGCAAGGAAAGCAGGAAAGAGAGATGGCCTTTATTGCAGCACGAACCAAGTGAGGGGACAGTATGTCAGCAGCTCTCCAGGAGGCACCAAGGGCAATGGGCCCACCCCGCCCCTGCAACAGGCCCCCCAGGGGCTAGAGTGTGGCTCCCCCCAGGAAGGGCAAGGCATGCTTGTAAATAGGGGCCCAGACAACACGGGGAGGGCACCATCATTGGGTGCAGCTTTGCTACAAGAAAGGTTGTACTTAATTTCAAAGAGGAAACCGCCATGCCTAGCCTCGCCCTCCTGTGCACTGGAAGGTTCTGGAAGCAGCTCCTACCTGCCTGGGGAGTTAGGCCCACCCACTGCCCATGAGCTGGGCCCAGGCACAGTGTAGCCAAACAAAAACTCTGGCAGCTGACTCCAAATTTCAGAAACACAATTAGAAAAGAACTGGAATTTTACATTTTTCTCCCATAGATTAAAAAACAAGAAAAAGCCAACATTTTGACTGTAGATTCTGGTAGGTCCATCTGACTTGAACCCGAAGGTCTCCCTGGAATCCTTTTCAGCCTTGCACTCTGCCATCCGCCATCAGCCCCAGGCCCTGGCCCCCATCGCTGGAGGATCCCTCAGACGAGGGCGGGACCCTGAGGAGTGCCCGGCGAGCAGGGCAACCCCTGGGAAGACAGGGACTGATCTCCCTGTTGGGGTCTGTGACCCTCACAAATGAAAAAGGGAACGGTAGCAGAAGATGACGGCTCCTACTGGGACCTCAGTGGGAAGTTTGCTGGTGAAGGTTCTGGGTGAGCTGAATGGGGACAAGGCGGGCCTGCCGGGTGGTGTCTCAGACTGTTCCTGGGCACTTGTCACATAGAGCCCTGTGGATGCAGTGTGAGGCCCACACCCGTCCCAGAAGCATCCTGATGCATTAAGAACAGAGACGCTGGAAGTGAAATCCGCCTGCCCCGTGTGACACAGGGCTCCCAAACGCTTCCCTGTGGAACCCTGCTCCCGAGGACACCTTGTCTCGCTCCACGGAACCCTTCCCACAGCACCCCCGGAAACGCAGCTGGAAACAAACTCTCCATGCCAGGAACGAAGGCCTTGGCTAAACCAGAGTCTCATCAGTGCAGGGATGGTGCTGAGGGATGAGGCAGGGCCTGGGGCAGTGCTCAGCCCTGGGGACACCATCCTGTCCTGCTCTGACCCACAGGTGGGAGGAGGACGCTCTGCTCCCGGACTCTGAGGCTGGGAGCGGGGCTCAGGAGGACAGAGGCCTGGGGCTGAGGCTGTGCCCAGGGCTGGTGTGGGGAGGGGTGTGGGGGCCTTTGCAGAAGCGGCTCCGAGAACTGAGGTTGGAATCCTGCCCCAAGCACAGGACGGCGAGTGTCTAGACAAGGCAGGTGACATGGCAGCCACCGGGCTGGTCCAGAAACAAGGTGCTGAAGACGTCGTTGAAGAAGGTGGGGTGGTACCTGCAGGCTCGTTCGCAGTCAGGGTTGAAGTTCACCTCCAGGATCTGCGGCTGCATCACCTGCTTTCCTGACAACAAAGAGCACGGCAGAGTATGAAGGCTTGTCGGCCTCCACTCCTGCAAGGGCAGTGGCCTGGGGTCTCAGCAAAGGCTGGGGGAGCTGTGGACCTGAGCTCTGATTCCCAGGGGATGGGCAGGGCAGAGCTGGGCCTGGAACTGGGGAACTGGGGTCTTTAGGAGACGTCTGCTTCTCTAGGAAAGGCCAGGGCTGCCTCCAGCCTTAAGATGAGAGCCTGTCCCTTTAAGCTTGAATGTTCAGCTTAGGGAAAAAAAAAAAAAAAAAAAAAAGCAGAGAGGGGCCGGCCAGGGGGCTGTGGGTTGGGATGATCAGGGTGCCTTTCCCTCAGGTCTCCTGTCCTGTGAGCTCACCCTGACACAGAGGTCCAACCCGCGGCTCTTCTCCTCTGCACTCTGCACAGCGGGTACTTCCCTTCCCTGTGGGCTGAGCCATGGCTTTCCCCAACCCTGATTTCTGGCCTGTTCAAGCCAGAAGACAGCCTGGGGCTGGCCCCTGCTTTCTCCAGGTACATGGTTGGCTGGCGGAGCGGGTGCCTCGTGGTTTGGATCAGGAGATGGGAGCCCCTCTTACCATCCTGACGGCTGTCCCACTTCAGCATGAGGTCGACGGCATACATGGCCCGGGATGAGGGGTAGTCACAGAGGCCCAGGGGTGGTGGCTTGGCACAGGCCACCTGGAACAGCTCCGTGAAGGCCTGAAAGATCTCAGCCTGGGGATGGAGGAGGTTGAGATATGAGACCTGCTCACAGCAGCCTCTCAATAGAGGGGGTTTGCTGCCCCTGCCTGAGCCCCAGGCCCCACACGGCCCAAGTCGCCCCTTCCCGTATCTTTATGTCTGTAGACCTCATCAAGGCCACCTCCTCCCAAGACCCGCCCTCTTACTTCTGGCGCCCACCTTCCGAAAATCTGCCTGTCTCCTGCCTCAGATCCCTGTTGCTCCCCACTACCCCAAGGAGCTCAATACAGCACCCAGAATGCTGCTGTCAGAAGTGGGGGCCCAGCCCACACTCCAAACACCTGGGATTTGGGGGCAGGCAGTGCTACCACCCTCTGGCTGTCCCAGGGGTGCCCCACATGCCCCTCCAGGTCACTCCCTCCCTCTCAGGAGCACCCACAAAGGCCCAGGGTGGACAGGAAGGGAAGCCACACTGTCTTGCCAGCCTCTGGAGAAGGATCAACTGCAGGGGACAAAGGACCCTCCCAGCTCATGCTGGCTGAGGAGGAGGAGGCAGCTCCTGCAGGCCCCTAGCCTGGGACCCGCCCCACCGGCCTGAGGTGGTGTGCAGGACAGGATTTACCTGGACGTCCACCCAGGGAAATTCTGGGTATTGCTTCTCAAACTCGGGGATGAAATCTTCACAGTGCACCTGCAACAGACACAGGGCCCATCACGCTCTGCCCAGGCCTCCGCTGGGCCAGGAGCGGGGAGCCTGCCACTGCCTGGACCAGGAGCTTCTGACACTGGGTGGGGCTTCTAGGAAAGCAGCCAGCCGCAGCCCCTCAGCGTACTAACAGGAGGTAGGAGATGGAGTCTAGCTCTGGGTCTTACTGTGTGACTCCGGACAAACGGACTAACTTCTCTGAGCCTGTTTCCTCCTCTGTGAAATGGAAAAATGTGCCCTGCCCAGTAAGCTGACTTTGCCAGACTGCTTCGAGGCTCATACCAGACACAGAATGTCCAGGGCTCCAGAAACTGCAGGCCTTGGGGTGGCACCCACCCTCACACTCAGCTTGGTATGGCACGAAGACTCTGAGCTCAGACCCCAATGCAGGGCCCACCTGTTCCCTGGCTCAGCGCTGGCTCAGAGTGCTCGAGGGATGCACATTACCCAAAACACACCCGAGGAAGGTGGCAGTTGGCTCAGATTTCTCCCAGAAAAGGGCAAGCCAGGACAGGCCCCTATGGAAACCTGCCATCCGTGCTGTGCTGGACACAGGGCTCCAGGAGAGGACTCTCGGGAGTCCCTCAGTACAGAAGGGAGGGACTCAAGACCTTGAGGGTGACCACCAACCACGTCTCAGGCCCTGCTGGGGGCTCTGGGTCCTAGTGAGAAGGCTTCAACACAGGTAAGGATAAGGGGGACAGAAGCAACAGGACCACTCGGCCCCTGTGCGGAGTGTACGCTGGTACTACAGCCACCATGGCACGGCAGGGACCTTTCTCCAAGTCCTCCTAGAGGACTCCTCGGACACGGGCACAGCCTGGTGGTGCCTCCATGCGTGTTCCTGTGTCATGGTTTATCATTAGGGAAGACCTCGGTTAACGGACTGCAGCCATGCTCAGCAGCAACCCTGAACCTCAAAACACGTCACTCAGCCAACAAAGCAAGCTGCAGAAGGATCTGTTCCATAAGATGATATTTATGGCCAGGCACGGTGGCTCACGCCTGTAATCCCAGCACTTTGGGAGGCCAAGGCGGGTAGATCATGAGGTCAAGAGATCGAGACCATCCTGGTCCACATGGTGAAATCCCGTCTCTACTAAAAATACAAAAATTAGCTGGGCATGGTGGCATGTGCCTGTAATCCCAGCTACTCAGGAGGCTGAGGCAGGAGAATTGCCTGAACCCAGGAGGCGGAGGTTGCGGTGAGCTGAGATCGCGCCATTGCACTCCAGTCTGGGTAACGACAGCGAAACTCCGTCTCAAAAAAAAAAAAAAGGTGACATTTATACAGGTTCACGCCTGTAATCCCAGCACTTTGGGAGGCTGAAGCAGGCAGATTACTTGCGTCCAGGAGTTTGAGACAAGCCTGGGCAACACGGCGAAACCTTGTCTCTACTAAAAATACAAAAAAATTAGCTGGGCATGGAGGTGTGTGGCTGTAGTTGCAGCCACTCAGGGGGCTGAGGCAGGAGGATCGCTTGAGCCCAGGAGACTGAGATGGCAGTGAACTGAGATCACACCTCTGCATTCCAGCCTGGGTGACTGAGTGAGATCCTGCCTCTCAAAAAAAACAGAACACAAACCCTAAACAAGCAAAACAGCAGCTTGAATGGTCAGGGACATACTCATGCTGAAAAGAATCAACACGGGGCTGGGAATGACAGCCACACCTTCAGGAGCAAGGGAAGGCTGGGGCCGGGTACAGGAGTCCATGCCCCTGCAGGCTGGCGACAGGCAGGGTGGGGTAGGTGTTTTATGCATCTGAAACATTCATAACCTGCCAGCTCAGACAGGACTTCCGGGACTTCCTTCCTTCCTGTACCCAGAGCTGGCCTCTTGCTTCTGTGCAGGCTGTGTCTACCTGGCCCAGGTGCTTTGGCTGGCCAGTTCTAGTTTCTCGCCCCCACCTTGGAAGGGCCTTTGTCCAGATGCCCCTGAGCTCCAGGTACTCAGATGTTGCAGCTGTTCACTGAGTGCCAGCTGCATGGGGCAGCGCTAAGCCCTGTGCATCAGGGAAGACAGGAGGCCCTGGACTCAGGCAGGTCACAGGCCAGCGGGCAGTCGGACCAGGTGGGGCCTCTTGATATGAATCTCTGTGCTTTTCTGCCTGCCCTGGCTGCTTTTCTGGTTGAAGCGGTGGTGAGGAGTAAGCCCGGCTGGGAACCCGCTGTCTCAGCTTGCTGCTGGACCCACCCCCACCTGCCTCCATGTCATTGCAAACACAGAGCACCATGGGGAGGCCTACCTCAGACAACACAGAACCCAGCCCGGCTCATCATGGCAGTGCTAACAATTGCCTTCCATAGCAGGAACTCAGGAGGCAGCTCCCGGGACAGGCCCAGGGGGCCAGTCCTCCCAGGAAGCACTGTGGGCGAGGCAGGGTCTGGGTCTGCACTGGCCTCCACGTGAATCTGCCCTACGACTTCCTCAGGCCCTACCTGCTTCAGCACCACATCCGGGTTGTAGTTCATGACCGTGAAGTGCTTCTCATAGTCATCCAGGTCATTGAGTGCAAAGGCCCTGGAAGACAAGCACGTGGACACATGTATGGGTTCTTGAGCTGGCCTTATCCTTGCGAGGGAGGTACCGCTCACTCAGCCTTCTCAGCTAGGGGCTCAGGGCTTGGGGCAGGAGCCTGTTCCCTCATCTGTGCAGGTGGGGTGGAGGTGAGTGAGATGCTGTGAAGTCTCCACAAGTCCCTAAAACAGCACCTGGTTCTCACATTGGTGCCCATTTCACAAAGAATGTTCACATCCATCATTGTGGGCGATGCCAGGACTCTGAGGGGGGTAGGGCAAGTCACCACCAACGACCACCAAGGTAGACGGGTTCTGAGGGCTACTCACTGGATAAGTGACGGAGGGTGAGTGCTATCAACGCCTTCTGATTACAAAAAGGGCCCACCGCCCACCCACTACCTCCACCCGGTCCCCCAGCTCCTGACCCTGGATGCAGCTGGCCCTCCACTCACCGGTTGGAGAAGCGCAGCCAGAACACATCATACACAAACAGCCGCAGGGGCTTCACCGAGCGCAGGAGCACGATGTAGCGGATGTCGAACTTGACCTTTCCCACATCTTCTCGAAGGAACAACACGGGACTTTCGATGTACTTGGATACAACCTGGAGGACACAGGCACAAGCTCAGCCCTCCCCTCCCCTCCCCTGGGCCAGGACAGAGCCCCGTGGGGCTCCCGAGCACACAAAGCCATGACGGCACAGACATGGCTGTACATTACTCCTTTTGCCTTTTCAAACCTGCCTAGGTTGCCGCAAAGTCTGTTTTTTTTTTTTGTTTTGTTTTTGAGACAGAGTTTGGCTCCATTGTCCAGGCTGGAGTGCAGCGGCGCGATCTCTGCTCACTGCAACCTCTACCTCTTGGGTTCAAACGATTCTCTTGCCTCAGGCTCCTGAGTAGCTGGGATTATGGGAGCCCACCACCCCCACCCAGCTAATTTCTGTATTTTCAGTAGAGACAGGGTTTCTCCATTTTGGCCAGGCTGGTTTCAAACTCCTGATCTCAGGTGATCTGCCTGCCTCGGCCTCCCAAAGTGCTGGGATCGCAGGCGTGAGCCACCACACCCACAGCAAAGTCATTACATTCATTTTTAATGGAAATGGAATATAAATTCTCACCCATCCACCCTCATCCCATGGCCTGAACTCTGCATGACAATTGTCCTTGTGATACATTTCCCACCAGCCTCTGACCATGTACACACCCCAAGTGGATCCTGTGTCCTGTAACCCCAACACTGCCTCTGGATGTCCCCTCACTACGACTCTTTACCACGGCTTGAGAGGCTCCGTTTTCAGGCTTGGCTACCTCATCCTGCTGGGCAGCCATACCTGGCACACTAGGTGCTAGGGTCTTTGAGATCAGAAGCACCCAGGACAGTTCAAGGTCTTGCTCTGTTGCCCAGGGTGGAGTGCAGTGGCACAATCATAGCTCACTGAAGCCTCAACTTCCAGAGCTCAAGTGATCTTCCTGTCTTAGCCTCCTGAGTAGCTGGGACTACAGGGGCGTGCCAACATGCCTGGCTAATTTAGTTTTATTTCCTCATAGAAACAAGGTCTCCCTGTGTTGCCCAGGTTGGTTTCAAACCTCTGGACTCAAGTGATCCTCCTCAGTTCCCCAAGGTGCTGAGATTACAGGTGTGAGCCACTCTGCCCGGCCTGGACCTATCTGTGAGGACGATGGCACTTGGTGCCCTCGTCTCTCACTGTCCAGCCAGGGCCCCGGGCTGTGGGACCCACCTTGGGGGTGCTCTCTCGGTGCCGGATGATGCTGTGCAGGTTCTTGGTGACATGGGTGTCCAGGCTGCGTGCCAGGTTCCAGGGCTTGCAGATCCAGTGGTTGTCCTCACCCCTGGGGAGCAGAAGGACTGTCTGGGTGGTGCCTGGGGCCTGTGTTCAGATGGTGCCTCCCCAGGACCCAGTGGCAGAAGAGGGCAGCCCACATCTCTTCTGCAGCTGAGGGCCTGCCAGAGAGGATCTGTTAGAGGGCAGGGCTTGGGAAATGAGGAGAGGTTTGCCAGAGCCCAGGAGGCTGTACTGCAGTGGAGAGCTCCTGCAGTCCATGAGGCTGGCTGTGACGTTCGGGGCCCACGGCTTGGCTCCTGCACCACAGTTTCCACAGTGGGTGCTCATGGAGGAGCAGGTGCACACAGAGGATGGGCCGGGGGAAAGGACCATGGAGCACGCCCACGCCGTGTTTGAGGCTTACCCCCTTTCCCGCTGCTGGAAGTAGCTGACAAACTGGGGCAGCTCAGTGCGCAGGTTGAAGGTCCGGGGCAGCCAGGGTGGGCCCTCGGGGCCGCCCGCCCGGCGCGAGATGGAGGCCAGGCAGTCCTTGACGGTCAGCAGGTTCTCGCAGGGGAACTGGTTCAGCAGCACGCCTGGCCTCTCCTGGCTGAGTTTCCTGCAGGGCGAAGGCAGGTGCACCAGCTTAACGGGAGGCTGAGACTCAGAGGCCGGCAATGCCTAGAGGCCCTGACTGGGAGAGTCCCTGCGGGCGAGAGTGCCCTCACCTGTAGTCCTTGAAGTGTGAGAAGTTGAAGAGGATGTCGGCGTCTGCCTCGCTCTGGGTGAGAGTGAAGCGCGGGTGGGTGAGGCTGCTGACCACCTGTTGCATGTCCGTGTAGACTCTGCAGGGAGAGCCTGAGCTGGGTAACCGTAGCCCTCACGCATCCAAGTGGGACTGGATGGAGCACCAGCCTTGGCTCAGGGACTCCCCTCCCTGTTCTGAAGCTAATGAGACTGAGGCGAGTCACGATGTTGGACAGCGGGGTTCAGACCCCAATTCCTCCAAAGTGCCAAGGGAGGGGGCAATCTGTACCCTTTTGACACCTGGCTCCCCATCTGCAGGGCTGGACCATGCAGTCTACCTCACATTTGTCGTTAAAATTAAATGGCATAATTTGGGTGTTTATTATGTGCTAGTTCTTTCGCCTCAGGTGGAAAAAAAGGATGAGGCTGGGGCCACCAATCTCACACAGACACACCAAGGGCCTTGGTGAGGCCTCTGCCCCAGAGGAGGTGGAGGGACTCAGGCCCCTGTCAGGTCCCCACCAGATTCATGTCTCAGCAAGAGCCCCTGGGCTGCCTGGCTGGGGCAGAGGCCAGCAGGGAGGAAAGCTCCTGGGCCTGGTGGAGGGGGCAGAGTGGAACAGCCTGGTTGTTTCCCTCTGGGCCAGGTTTGGGCAGCCAAGGGGAGTGTCTGGGAGCTTCGGGGAGGGGCTCCTGGGAAGGCTGAGGCGGTACCTGCTCTGCATCTCTGTGTCCTCACCTGTGATTGCTTCTGTGAGGGGTCCAACCTGAACCTGGGGGCCTGGCCTCCCTTAACTCAGCAGCCACACCTGCAGCCTCCTGCTGGCCTGGCCTCCCTTAACTCAGCAGCCACACCTGCAGCCTTCTGGGGGGGGGGGGGCCCTCCTGGCAGCTCAGGTGCCTGTTCTAAGTGCCCAGCATGTTCATGGCCAGCAAAGGCTCCCTCCTGGCATGCATGGGCCTGGTTGTGTGTCGATTTCCAGGACTGAAGAGCACATCCGGGTAACTGGAGAGGCCCCATGACATGCAGAGTTGGTAACGTGACCCCATGGTACCCAGAAGACAAGGGTGGGATGGGACCAGTGGTGACCAATGCTCCTACCCAGGGGGGCCTTTCACCCACCACCAGCATTTTCTATTTTTAACTTTCAAGGGTGATTTTATTATTTTTTTTAAAAGGAGTCTTGCTCTGTCGCCCAGGCTGGAGTGCAGTGGCCTGATGTCCCCTCACTGCAGCCTCTGCCTCCCAGATTTCAAGCGATTCTTCCGCCTCAGCCTCCTGAGTAGCTGGGATTACAGGCGCCCACCACTATAATCTTTTTGTATTTTTAGTAGAGATAGAGTTTCACCATGTTGGCCAAGCTGATGTTGACCTCTGACCTCAAGTGATTCACCCACCTTGGCCTCCTAAAGTGCTGGGATTATGGGCGTGAGGTGCTGCGCCTGGCTTCACAGGTGAGGCAGGAGAATGGCTTGAAATCCGGGAGGCAGAGGTTGCAGTGAGCCAAGAACACACCACTGCACTCCAGCCTGGGTGACAGGGAGACTCAGTCTCAAAAAAAAAAACAAAATCTCCAGAAAGCCCTGCTCACTCTTGCACTTCCTGCAGCATTTTCTCTGGATCCTAAGAGCTCCACTCCCTGCATTCATCCCTGCTGTGCCCAGACAGGACGCAGCTGACTTACTGGGCACCCATGTTCTGGGGCTGTGGGAACCACAAAGCCTGGGAGGCAGTGACTGAGGACAAGTCCCAGCCCAAGCAAAGGGGGCTACATACTTGAAGACGTGGTCGTCGGGGTACACCACTGGGCTGATGGCAAGTGGCAGTTTCTCCTTGTTTTCCTTCAGAATGGCCTAGAAGGAAACACACCAGAGGTAGAGATGAGCTTAAGGAAGGGAGGGACAGGCCGGCGCCGTGGCTCACGCCTATAATTCCAGTACTTTGGGAGGCTAAGGCAGGTGGATTACATGATATCAGGAGTTCAAGACCAGCCTGGCCAACATGGTGAAACCCTGTCTCTACTAAGAATACAAAAATTAGCCAGGCGTGGTGGCGCAGGCCCATAATCCCAGCTACTTGGGAGGCTGAGGCAGGAGAATCACTTGAACCCGAGATGTGGAGGTTGCAGTGAGCTGAGATCACACCACTGTCCTCTAACCCGGGAGACAGAGTGAGACTCCATCTCCAAGAAAAAAGGAAGAGAGGGAGGGGACACAAGTCTCCCTGCCCGGCGCCAAGTTCTATGGCCTCACAGGCCATCGAATGGCTGCTGCTCACTCCCAATACCCCAAAGCCTCTAACCACCCCTTCACCCCGGGATTCTGGGGCCTCAGGGCCCTCAGGTGCTGAACAGTCCTAGTTTGGTATCAAAAGAACAAGGTAAACATTGCTGCACATCTTCTCAATGCTACCTGGAAATCACTGGGGGTGAGAGGGTGCCAAAACCCTCCTGAGAGGAGCCGCTTGGTTCTAGGAGCCCTGAGACCTAGAGCTCCAGCAGTGTGATAATTTAACACACGCCCATGTATCTGCACATGGTGGCTGAAGCCAGTAATCCCTGCACTTTGGGAATCTGAGGTGGAGGACTGCCTGAGCCAAGGAATGTAGGACCAGCCTGGGCAACATAGTGAGATCCTGTCCCTACGGAAAAATTAAATAATTAGCACGGCTTGGTGGCAGTTGCCTAGAATCCCAGCTACTCAGGAGGCTGAGGCAGGAGGATTGCCTGAGCCCAGGAATTAGAGGCAGCAGTTAGCTATGATCGTGCCACTGCACTCTAGCCTGGGAAAAAGCAAGACCACATCTCTTTAAAACAATTAAAAAAAAAAACAAAAAAAAAAACGATTAAGACATGCCCTCAAAGTTTGACACCCTCTTCCAAAGGCAGACCTGCATCCATCTCCAAGGGTAGGATGGACCTAAGGAATTGCTTCCAATTAGCAGGAAAAAGGTGGAAGAAACAGGGTTGCTTCTGTGATGAGGCCATCAAGCCCAAGGCTTCCTCTTTGCTCTTTCCCTGGGATCAGCTGCTCTGAGAGAAATCAGGTGCCATGTCCTGGGGACACCTGAGCACCCCTATGGAGAGGCCCACAAGGCGGGGAGCCCAGGCCTCCTGCCAACAGCCACCATCCACACAGCAGGCACGCACGCATGCCACGTGGAAGCAGGTCCGCAGCCCGACAGGCAGCCTGTGTGTCTTGAGGGAGACTTGAGGCCAGAGGCACCCCGCTGAGCCAGTCCTGAACTCCTGCCCCACAGAAATCATGTGAGATAATAAATGTTTGCTGTTTTAAGGTGCTAAGTTTTGGAGTTACTTTTTTTTTTTTTGAGACAGAGTTTCGCTCTTGTTATCCAGGCTGGAGTGCAATGGTGCGATCTCGGCTCACTGCAACCTCCGCCTCCTGGGTTCAGGCAATTCTCCTGCCTCAGCCTCCTGAGTAGCTGGGATTACAGGAACACACCACCATGCCTAGCTAATTTTTTTTTTGTATTTTCAGTAGAGACGGGGTTTCACCATGTTGACCAGGATGGTCTCGATCTCTTGACCTCATGATCCACCTGCCTTGGCCTCCCAAAGTGCTGGGATTACAGGCATGAGCCACCGCGCCCGGCCTTGGAGTTACTGTTTACCCAGCCACAGCTAATGGACATAAGCAACCCCAGGCCCAGAGCACAGACCCAACTGTGAAGGGTCAAATGGGAAAAAACGGACACCTGGCCTTTTATCTCCTCCTCTTTCTGGTCAACACAGAGGTTCCCAAGGAAAACCATGAACTCCGGTTCATGTTCCATTAACAAAGAACCCCAAGACCAGGACGTGTTCCTCCCTCCAGCTGTGTTGACAAAGGCATTTGCTTTTTCAGGTAAATGTGTACTAAGCACCTTCCTGGTGCAGGGGCTCCAGGAGGCTCATAAGCGCCCTTTGAACCAATAAGACTGACCCCTTGTTTTTGGGAAGGTTGGTTCAATCGCCACTGACTTAAAGTGCCAGGAGGCCCCCCAACAGCCCATCCCTGCAGTTGGCAGTGCCCACACAAACACACCACCACTCTGCACACCGACTCTCACACGAGTCAACTCTATCCCTTCCCACAACCCTCTGAGGCTCTTAGCACCTGGTGCGCAAGAAAGGCAACTTCAGTTCCTGTGGGGCAAGCCTGCAGCCTCAGCCCACAGGCCACCAGGTCCCCTTGTTTCTGGACTCCAGCTCTTCCACCCTTGGCAAGTGACTTAACCTCTCTGTGTCTCAATTTCCTCATCCTCAGTAAAATGAAGATAAAAACAGAACTGTAAACTTGTAAAGAACAGTAGTACACGCCCACAGGCTCCCTTGCGGGCTGGTCTAAGCTTATGGAAGCAGCAGCAGATCAGAGGGCAGGGGAAGGAGGACAGAAGGGTCAGGGGTCAGGAACCCCCTACCCAACCCTGCCTCTTTCTGGAGGTAGCTACATTCCTCTTCCTCCCCCAGCACTAGGGGCTTGCCAACCCTGGCTCCCTAACCTGCCAGCCTCCTCATATGGGGCCTGGATGAGCTCCAACCTCCAGCCAGGAACTTCTGAGTGGCCCAGATGGGTCCCAGGGGGCCCTCACCCAGACTAAAAGCACCTTTGTTATCAATAATAGTGACCAAGACAGTAACTTGCAGGCCTGCTGAGTGAGAAAGGCATGTGACGTATGAACACTGGGTGTTCCTGTACCTTTGTGAGATGAGGATACGGGGCTGAGCAGGGTTCACAGCCAAGATCAACTGCACAGCCCTCCTCCTTCCCGAGGGAGCAGCATGGACCCTCTGAGGACAGAGGCTTGTAAGTACTCTTTGGACCAATAAGACTGCCCTTGTTTTGGGCATAGTTGGTTCAATCACCACAGACTTAGACCAGCACCATCCTCACCAGGCATCTTGTGATCTGGAGCCCCAGCTGTGCAGCCACAGGCAGCTTGTGTTCACTCTCTGAGCCCTTTGTCTCTCAGAGGCTCCCAAAACTCTCTACACCTCCCACAGTAACTGGCTCAGGGCCTAGCACCTGGCTGGTGTTCGATAACATTTGGTGTCTGGACAGAGAACATTCTGGAAGCTACCAAGCAGACACGCTAGGGGTGGAGGAGGGCTGTACCTGGTAGTGCTCGGCGGGCGGCTCGGGCGTGCAGGAGCTGAGGTCCAGCATGTCGGCGGGGGCCCAAGGCAACAGCATGCACTTCCGCATCAGGGGATCTGTCTCTCCGTAGGCAAAGTCCCGGGTCACCTCCTCTGTGTCAAGACACATGTGCCCATCAGAGCGGGATGACAGGACACCGGGCCGAGGCCTGTCCTCCAGGGTGGGAGGGAGCTGGACTTACCACCAGTGTCTAGGTCCCTCAGGGGCCACAGCAGTGTGTAGGCCACCTGCTGGGGCATGTAGAAGAAGGGGGCCGTGGCAAAGCTGGGCATGTCCGCATGCTGGATCCTCGAGCCGAACTCGTCCATGATGTACCACACCGGCATCTTCTCCTCGGCTGTCTGCAGACAGGACACACGGCACCCCTTGCCCACCTGCCCACCATGGGAACTCCCTTCTGAAACCCCAGACATCGACCACCCATCAGCCCATGGCCATCTCTCTGGTCTTCAGAAAGGCCCTCTCACATGTACCCCAGGCCCATTAGCTAAGCTACAGGCTCCAGGACAGCAGCCCACCCTTTGCAGACCAGACCCAGGCCTGGATAATGCAGGGTGACAACTCATAGTAAAAGGGCGTCTGGAAACAAAGCATGCAGCTCAGTACCAGTAGGGGTGTGTCTGGGTTTGTGGGCATGGAGGGAGGGGGCGTACTCTTTGAGCTCAGAGAAGGCTCCCTGGAGGAGGTGACATCTAAGCTAAAATCATGAGAAACAAGCAAGTATCTTTCCCCAAACGAAGAGTGATAAGGGGCTGGAGCACGGGGTGAGTCTGGAGAGGCCAGCAGCGGTGGGTGAGGAATAGTTGAGGGCTATTTTTTTTTTTTTGAGACGGAGTTTCACTCTTGTTACCCAGGTTGGAGTGCAATGGCGTGATCTCGGCTCACCGCAACCTCTGCCTCCTGGGTTCAGGCAATTCCCCTGCCTCAGCCTCCTGAGTAGCTGGGATTACAGGCACGCGCCACCATGCCTAGCTAATTTTTTGTATTTTTAGTAGAGATGGGGTTTCACCACATGGACCAGGATGGTCTCGATCTCTTGACCTCGTGATCCACCCGCCTCAGCATCCCAAAGTGCTGGGATTACAGGCGTGAGCCACCGCGCCCGGCCAGTCAAGGGCTTTTAAGAGAGTGACGTAATCAGAGCGGCCAGGAAAGAGGTGGTTGAGTCATCTGGGCCCTTTTAGTTTAGGAGTCAGAGGGCCACATCCTGTGAGCTCGGAGGTCAGCTGGACCCGAGTCCCCAGCACAGTGTGCTCCTTAAGAAGCCACAGGAAAAAGTGAGTGGCTTGTTCTAGCTGGCCCTCCACCCGCCCTGATGGTGCAGGGCAGCAGAGGTCTGTGTCCATGCCTGTCCTCCCTGTGCCTGGGGCCCAGCTACTCACTCACCCCATGGGCCAGCTGGTAGGTCTGGTTGAACTTCCACATCTCATCCAGCACCAGGCCCACAGCCTCCGTGCTGGGCAGCTCGCCGTGGAACTCAATGCCCATCAGGTTGGCCATGCGGTGCAGCAGCCCGGGCACCTGCAGCAGCTGCTGGCGTGCATGCTCCACGCGACACGTCCAGGCGTGGTCGATGAGGAAGATGCTGTGGGCACAGGCCACCCGTGAGGCTGCTGGGCGTGCACAGTGCAAAGGGAGGCGGGGACAGGAAGAGGCCTAGGGCTGTGCTGGGACCAGGACTGGAGCTTCCTAAGATTTGGTCTACCAGGTGCTAGAGTTATGCCCAGTTTGGGCAAGGGTCAGGGGCTGGCGCTGCTGCTTACTCCCTGTGTGATTCTGAGCAAGCACCTCCGCCTCTTCAAGCTTCTCAAACAGGGCAGCAGGGGTCTTTACCGCCTGTCACCAGGCTGTCACAGCAGCAGATGAGACCAAATATGTGGTACACCTACCGTCCACTAAGCACTCGTAATAAACACACCAGCGGTCACTAGTGTGAAGTCCTCAACTGGACCCTGGACAACTATGGACCAGGCCCAAGCTGCCCATCTTCTTTTTTTTTTTTTTTTTTTAAGACAGTATCACTCTGTCGCCTAGGCGGGGTGCAATGATGTGATCTCGGCTCACCGCAACCTCCGCCTTCCAGGTTCAAGTGATTCTCCTGCCTCAGTCTCCCGAGTAGCTGGGATTACAGGCACCCACCACCATTACCGGCTTATTTTGTATTTTAGTAGAGATAGGGTTTCTTCATGTTGGCCAGGCTGGTCTTGAACTCCTGACCTCAGGTGATCCACCCGTGAGCCACCACGCCTGACCATGCTGTCCATCCTGCTGCCTGCAGGCCTGGCACAGTGCAGCTGCTCAACAAAAGCAAAGGCCGTAGACACTAGGGGCCAGCACAGGCAGATGGCACGGAGGCTGCCACACAGGGCTCATCCATGCAGCCAGGCCTTCTGTAAGCACCAAGGACTTTTTGTGGGAGAGGCTTCCAGTCCCCGCACATAGGAGCCCTGCAGCCCAGCTCCCATGGGAAGCATGCTAGGGCTGTGGCACAGGATGAGCTGTCCCTACCCTCTAGGACATGGGGCTGGCCATAATCCCCCCAGAGCCCTGCCGGACCAGGAGGCACTGAACACACAACACTCAGGTGCCTGATGGGTAAAGCAGACCCCAGCTCTGTTCCCCGTTGAAAATGAAAGGCCGGGCACGGTGGCTCAAGCCTGTAATCCCAGCACTTTGGGAGGCCGAGGCGGGTGGATCACGAGGTCAAGAGATCAAGACCATCCTGGTCAAGTGGTGAAACCCCGTCTCTACTAAAAATACAAAAAAAAAAAAAAATTAGCTGGGCATGGTGGTGCTTGCCTATAGTCCCAGCTACTCGGGAGGCTGAGGCAGGAGAATTGCCTGAACCCAGGAAGCAGAGGTTGCAGTGAGCCAAGATCGTGCCATTGCATTCCAGCCTGGGTAACAAGAGTGAAACTCCGTCTCAAAAAAAAAAAAAAGAAAATGAAAGGGACAGCCAACGTTCCAGTTCTCAGGCTGGGAGGAAGTTCAGGAGTATTTATCTTATTGTGCTTGTATTAGATTTGTTGGTTGGCCCATCCTGAGTAAGTGGGTTTACTCTTGCACTTGTGCTAGAGTGGCTGAGCATGTGATGCAGGGCCCAGGCCTTCGGGGTGACCCTGGGCAAGTGAAGCAAGGGGTGCTGTACACAGATAGGGATGGAGGTGAGGACGGAGAGGTTGTTGGGGCCTGGCAATTGGGGAGATTCAGGGGGACGAGGGCCTGGAAGCAGAAAGGCTCAGAAGCAGGTAGAGCTGAAATGAACACTCAGCCTCCAAATCCAAGACCCTGGATCCCTGGCTGCCAGTGGGGTATGTGGCTGCAGGCCCGAGAGAGACCAGGAGTTCCCAGGGCAGTCGCTGCATCTAACGCACCTGCTCCCGGGCCTGAGTGCCACAGAACTCACTTCACTGAACTTGAAGGGGAAGGTGAACCTGAGCATGCACAGGTGGAGGTGCTGGGCTGCCCATATGCGGGGTGGCTTGCTACTGCCCACTCACAGCTGGAGGAGGATTCGGGAGAAGCTCTGCAGAAGAGACCAGACCCCCGCCCAAAAAGCTGTGCATGGACACAGGGGCCCAGCAAGTTTCTCGAAGGTTCCACAAAACTTTTGGCAGAGGGGCTGGCAGGCCTGTCCTAGGGATAGCCACTCTTGGTCCCTGGGGGCAGGAAGTCTGGGGTACAGTCTCAGCTCTGCCCTAACTACCCTCCTCCTCCTCTTCCACTTCCTCCACTTGCATGATCCCAAACACTTCCCTGGCATTGAAAACCTGGGGGCCAGAGCTTGGGTCAGCAGGGGTGCGGGCAGGAGACCCCACCCCTAATGCCTTCACCACTGGCTGGGACTTGTGCTCCAGAAAGCCACCCAACGTGCCACACCCAGGCTTCAAGGACAAACATGCCTCGGCAAGGTGAGGCCTGCTCTGAGTCTCAGGTGCTCAGGTGTTCTGGGGCCCATCCTAGATTCCAATTCAGCAGGACCGGGGAGGAGTAAGGCTGACCTGTACCCTTAATCTGGAGGGTAACCTCGAGCAAAACTGGAACTCCTAATCCCCTGTAGTAGGACCACTGTGACGAGGTGGCTGGGAGGTGCTCCCAGGCCGCAATCCACCCAGACTCCACAGCAAAGCCCTGTGTTGCCATGGACACTACTCTGAAGCCCTGATGGACACACTGCTGGCCACGTGTGCTCACCACAAAGCTGTCCTGGGGAAGATGTCCAGTGGTGGTGAAGGGCCCAGGAGAGTCTGCAGTTACTACGTCCCCCACCTTTCACCAAGTGAAGGTTGTGGTGACATCCCTGGCCAGGCTCCTACCTGTTGGGGTCGGCTGCCTGAAGCCCGCTCTCCCTGGTCACGATGACCTTGCAGCACAGCTCACTCCCGGGGTTGGGCTGCCTCTTCCGCACGTCCTGTGCTGCCTCCTCCTCCTCTTCCACTTCCTCCACTTGCATGATCCCAAACACTTCCCCAGCATCGAAAACCTGGGGGCCAGAGCTTGGGTCAGCAGGGGTGTGGGCAGGAGACCCCACCCCTAATGCCTTCACCACTGGCTGGGACTTGCGCTCCAGAAAGTGACCCAATGTGCCACACCCAGGCCTCAAGGACAAACATGCCTCCTTCAGAGGAGAGGGATCTGTTTAATGCAACTGCACAGTCTTATGGGCAGGGAGACTGAAGCTCCTAGAGACGTCAGGGTCAGAACAGGTACCTAATGTACCCACCATCGCCTGAGCTGTCATCCAGAGCCCTTTGTCCCACAGTACACTGCATGGAGATGGGACTGCGAAGACTCACTGGAGGTATCTCTAGTCCATTCCCCTTGAATTACAGTGAAAGAGAAGACCCAAAGATAAGAAAGGGTGGCTCCAGTCACACTGGAGGTCAATGGGAGTCAGGATCTTGGTGGCCAGGGGGGACACCCTATTTTCCCCCTCCCCACAAGAACCCTTCAACACTAGGATAGCTGAGGGAACTCACAGACAAGCCTCCTCCAATCTGGCCCCACCCATCAAGGCCAACAGGAAGGGAAGGTCCAGGTCAAAGCAGGACAGGAAGATAAGGGCCTTGGTCCTGCCTGTGTGGCTAGTCAGGCAGCAAGTGACCTCTTCCGGTGTGTGTGGACCACAGGGGTCCCTGGCCCAGCCACACTTTGGTACTGTCTGCCACGAGCCAGCAAGGGGGGCTTCTGGGCAGATTCTGGAGCCAGGCAGTGTGGGTTCAAATCTTGGTTTCACCCCTTCCTAGACAAGTGACCTTGAACAAGTTACTTAACTATCCCTTGGTGTTTCCTCATCCACATAATGGGAATAACAGAACCTCCCTCTGAGTGTTCCTGGGAGGTTAGATGACTCATACCCAGAGCTTGGAGTGAGGCTTGGCCACAACAAATGCTCTGTAAGCATGCGTGCCACTGTTACGCTTCTGAGACTCAGTTTCCTCACTTTCGAGAGGGGGTGTCATCCACCCTTCAGGACAGATGGAATGAAATCAACAGTGTACATGAAGTCCTGGCACACGGCAGAGGCTCAACAGAGACCAGTTTCTCCCTAAAACCTCATTCACAGTACTGGATTAAAAACGGCAGTTGAAAAGGCTGGGGTGTGGTGGCTCACGCCTGTAATCCCAGCACTTTGGGAGGCTGAAGTGGGAGGATCATGAGGTCAGGAGTTTGAGGCCAGCCTGATCAACATGGTGAAACCACGTCTCTACTAAAAATACAAAAATTAGCTGGGCGTGTTGGTGGGCGCCTGTAATCCCAGCTACTCAGGAGGCTGAGGCAAGAGAATCGCTTGAACATGGGAGGTGGAGGTTGCATTGAGCCGAGATCGTGCCACTGCACTCAAAAAATGGCAGCTGGAAACTAACTCCTCAGGCGTAGGCAGCTTTTGTGCCCTGTGGTGGCATGAGGACGACACTCGTGGCCTTGCCCAGGGAGCTGACGGCTGAGTAAGGTCTAGGCCACCTGAAGAGTATCAGGTAAATTGCTCTGGGGCCTGGAGGGCCTGGGAAGACTTAATGGATGAGGAACTATAATCAGAGGCCAGCTTTGAAGGGGAAGATTTAAACATGAGGCTGTGTGGTGAGGATGGAAAGGAACTCCAGGCAGTGGGAGAGCAAGAGCAAAGGCTGGAGGCAGACAGCCCAGGGTAGAGCAGACCAGGGGTCACATGGAAGACAAGGCACCTGTGACAAGGGGCATCCGGTTCTCCTTTGTCCTCAAGGTGGGTTTGGGGAGGCTATTTTCTCGTTTGGGACTGGAGGGAGGCTAAGACCTTAGGATTCCACCCCAGTGCTCCAAAACCCCAGGGGACAGAGTGAGGCTGAGGACTGAGAACCTGCCTGAAGCCTGGCTTGGCTTCACCCCAGCTGTGAAATGGGGGGTAACCACAACCCCTTCATGGCAGGACTGGAAGAGCTCCCCAGGAGATAAGGGGAGTGGTTTTTCAACTGGGAAGCTTGTGCAGACAGAAGAGTAGACACTTCAAAAACACCTCTTTTAGTTTCCCTATCCTTCCCAGGGCAGCTGACCTAAGGCGACGCAGGAGGGCTGATGGCGAGGGGAGGAAGGGCCCACGGCGCTGGCAGGTGGTCCTGCTGCTGCTCGGTCTCCCCCACACCTGGGCCAACAGCAGCAGGAGGCTTCACTCAGGAAGAGCTCCAAGTTTGTGTCTGGTAAAGCAGTGACTCAGCTCCGCCCTTAATGGCTACGGGGGGTCACGGAAAAACACTGGCTGCCCCTTAGTAGGGCAACAGCAGGCAGGGCGGCCTTGGCAGGGGGACATGACGAGGTGGCGACCACCCTGTGTAATGGGTATATTTCTCATGCCACCTCCCATCCCTCCAATACTGTGGGAGTCAGGTGCTGTCTCACTGTCCCCTTCCTGGAGAACGGGACTCAGATGGGCATGACTGGCCGAGGGAGGGTCATGCCGTGGAGGCTGGCTGGGCAGGAGCTGGTCATTCCCACTGTGCTCCTTCCACGAAGCACATGGGAACCCTTTTGTCCTCATGAACAAACCAGGGTCCCTTCCACTCAGCGCAGGCTTGGGACCAGAGCAGTCCTCAGAAAGCATGGCAGAAGTGAAGAGCAGAGGAAACTGTTACACTGTAGTGTGAGGTGTCACTGCACGTTTCCAGCAGGAAGGTTCCTCGTCCAACCAAGGTTACACAGAGAGAAACGGGCTCAGGGACCGTGGGGTCTGGCCAGCAGCCAGGTTCAGGGACTTCTAGTTCCCGGCCTGGGTCCCTGTTTTGGGCTCTGGGGCTCCACTTCATCACCTGCGCCACTTGGCTCATCTCGGTCAGGGTGGTGGCACCTGGAGGAGATGCCTGGTCCCAGCTAAAGATGCCCCCGGCCAGCCGGCCCGGGAAGGGGCTGTGGCTTCAGCCCCTGGGCACGCAATCAAAATCCAGGGTTCACCCCCAGCCAGGACAGTAAGAAACGCTTTGGAGTGGAGCAGGATGGGCCATCCTCACAAAAAAGGGGAGAACCTAGAGGCTCCTAAACCTTTTCCATTTTTCTTTAGAGTTCTCCACCTCCCACAGCCTGTTTTCTTTAATCTGCAAGGAACCCGAGGCTCGAATCAAATGAAAAAAGACAGAATTCTGTGAACCCAACAGTTACAGCTACACAAACTCACGGGGTTCCTGTAGTCTCTTTGAGGCAGCGGCTGAAATAATCCCTCTGAAGGGACTCTGGGAGCCGCAGTGTTCTCATCTGTAAAGTGGGGGCGATGAATCTGACGCCCAGCAGGGCTTTGTGAGGCTCGGGTGTGTGGAGCTCAAGTTTCCACCGCAGCCTTGGGCGGGCCTCGGGCCCGGGCAGGTCAGGGCCGCAGGTATCCCAGTCTCCTGCTGTCACTCCTCGGCCCCCAACTCCACGCCGCTCCAGAACTGCCCAGGACGCGGTCTGGGTGGTTCAGCGAGGCTCCCGCCGCCCTGGAGCGCCCTTTCTTGCCCCGCGCCGAGGGCTTCCGCCGCGCTCCCACCCCGGCCGCCGCACGTGCCCGCCGCCCTTCCCCGCACCTCGTGCTCCAGCTTGTGCAGGAGACGGCCCCAGTAACGCTCGGGGACCCCCGAGGCGCGCAGCGCCGGGCCGTGCAGCGCTGCGAACTCGGTCAAGGACCGCGCACCCTCCTCCGGCGTCGGGCCCGGGCTGCTTCGCTCCGCAGGCGGGCGCTCGGGGCCCCGCTCGGCCTCCATGGCGCTTGCACCCGCGCCGACTCCAGCGCCGCCGCCGCCGCCCGCCGGCCCTGCCCTCCCGCCTCGGCCCGCCCGCCAGCGCCGCCCCGCCCCGCCCTCCTCCCGGCCCCAGAGCAGGCACTGCGCGTCCGCGGGGCGAGTGCGTGAGCGCGCGGTCTGAGGAGCGGGGCGCGCGTCTACGGCCGCGCCCGTGATTTCGAGCTGCCACCTTGTACGCACGCGCGCGTGATGGGGGCGGAGATTTTCTCACTGAGCCCGCGGCCACCCAGGGGAATGCCGGGAGGGCGGGGCACCTGCGTCCGGCTCTGTCAGGACCGGAAAGAGGCACCACTGACAGCCCGGAAGGGGCCCTGGGGCCGGAACCCGGTGGGGCGGTGCTGCAGTGCCTGCACAGGGCACACGTTGACGCTCGCAGGCCCCCCGCCCCGGGGGAGGAAGGAACTCTTGATTCCTTTGAGTGCTTCACCAGATTTGGATGCTGCAGAATCATGGCCCTTCTCAATTCCTTATTTTTGGATTTGGAATGCGCGCCACCATGCCTAGCTAATTTTTGTATTTTTTAGTGTAGATGGGTTTTCACCATGTTGACCAGGCTGGTCTTGAACTCCTGATCTCAGCTGATCCACCCTCTTTGGCCTCCCAGAGTGCTGGGATGACAAGTGTGAGGCACTGCACTGGCCTATTATTTGAGATGGAGCCTTGTCTCGCTCTGCGGCCCAGACTGGAAGACAGTGGCACAATCTCAGTTTACAGCAACCTCCCTCTCCAGGGTTCAAGTGATCCTTCGGCTTCAGCTTCCCAAATAGCTGACATTACAGGCATGCACCACCATACCCGGCTATTTTTTGGATTTTTAGTAGAGACAGAATTGCCCCATGTTGTCCAGGCTCGAACTCCTGGGTTCAAGTGATCTGCCCACCTCAGTCTCCCAAAGTGCTGGGATTACAGGTATGAGCCACCTCACCCAGCCAGAAAAACGTGTTATTAATACTGTCACACTGAAGTACTTTTCTGAAGAAAAAGTAATTTGATCTAAGTGAAGAGTCATGATTCACAGGGTGATATGTAAATCCACTGCTGCAGACCCACATTTTGATTTCAGGTGTAGCCTTAAAATAATTACTAAGTTTTGATAGATGTGATGCTTCTGAATCGGAATTGTGTCATCTTGTTTGAGGTTGATGATTTATCTTTGACCTCCATGATGGAAGGTAAAGGTTGACATTTTTTATTTTTATTTATTTATTTCTTTTAAGGTTGACATTTTATGGAAGTTTCATGTTCATAATCAACTTAGAGAAATTGAAATTCAGAACTTAATTTATAATTAAATACGGGTTTCTGGAATGTTTTTAGTTTAGGGCTCCTGAAAAGGTTTATTGCACAGTAGGAATAAAATACTAAATATTAATATGTAAACTAGACTTATACCACATAGAAGTGGACAAAAGCACTCCAGCAAAAGTGTTCAGCCTTCTCCACAGAATGTAGAGCAGAACCACTGTCTCCATTTTCCACACACTTCATTTACACCTGACCTGTAATTTTTCTAAGGTTACATGTATCTTGCAGGACAAAGTACAGGCACAACTCAGGTCGTAGGTGGGCAGGGGCAGCAGGATCTCACTGTGAATATTCAGTAAATAACAATATTATATTGCAATTAGGTAAGAAATATCTTCTTCATAGACTGGATCATTGCAAAAATCCCTGGATCATGGTGAGATGTATAGTGAAAGTTGATCCTAGAATTGGGTCATTTGGCCAGGCTCCATGGCTGATGTCTGTAATCCCAGCTTTTTGGGAGGTCGAGGCAGGTGGGTCACAAGATCAGGAGTTTGAGACCAGCCTGACCAACATGGTGAATCCTCGTCTCTACTAAAAATATAAATATATATATTGAATCAGAGTTTTCCTCTATAACCCAGGCTAGAGTGCAGTGGTGCAATCATAGCTCACTGCAGCCTTGAATGCCTAGGTTCAAGTGATCCTCCTGCCTCAGCCTCTCGAGAAGCTGGGAGGTGCACTAGATGTGTACCACTACACCCAGCTAATTAAAAATTTCTTTTTGTAGACTTGGGGTCTTGCTTTGTTGCCCAGACTGGTCTCAAACTCCTTAAGTGATCCTCCTGTCTCAGCCTCCGAAAGTGCTGGAATTATAGGTGTGAGTCAGTGTGCCCCATACCCAGCGTTGTGATGCTGTTTTATTTGTCTATTTATTTATTGGGATGGAGTCTTGCCCTGTTGACCAGGTGTGAGCACAGTGGTGTGATCTCGCCTCACTTTAGCCTCTACTTTCCGGGCTCAAGCGATTCTCCTGCCTCAGCCTCCCAAGTAGCTGCGACTACAGGTATGCACCATCACACCTGGCTAATTTTTGTATTTTTAGTAGAAACAGGTTTTCACCATGTTGGCCAGGCTGGTCTCCTGACCTCAGGCAATCCATCTGCCTCGGCCTTCCAAAGTGCTGGGATTACAGGCCTGAGTCACTGTACCTGGCCTGGCTATATTATTTCTCATGCATTATAGTCATGACTATATAGATAGTATATGTCATACTTACAATTATTTCATGAGCAACCATACAAAGTGAAACCAGTTGTCTTTGACACTTGATGAAAGAGCTAATTCTGTAAAATATTTTAAGAGGTTTATTCTGGGCCAAGACTAGTGACCATGGCCCAGAGTACAGTCTCAAGAGGCCCTGAGGGCAGGTGTGGTGGCTCACGCCTGTAATCCAAACACTTTGGAGGCCAAGGTGGGCGGATCACCTGAGGTCGGAGTTCAAGACCAGTCTGAGGAACAGGGTGAAACCCTGTCTTTAAAAAAAAAAAATTAGCTCTCTCTCTCCCTCCCTCTCCCCCATCCTCTTTCCTCCTTTTCTCTCTCAAACAAGAATATAGCTTCCTGTCTACAAGCCAGGAAGATAGCCCTCACCAGAAGCCAAGCATGCTGGCACCCTGATCTCACCCAGCCTTCACACTGAGGAGAAAAAAGAAGGCAACAGGAAGGAGAAGAAAGAAGAAGAAAGGGGGGAAAAAAAATAAAAGAAAGACAAGGCCTGAGAATTAAAGGAAGTTTAATTTTATAGTTAAAAAAATAATAGGCCGGGCGCGGTGGCTCAAGCCTGTAATCCCAGCACTTTGGGAGGCCAAGGCGGGTGGATCACGAGGTCAACAGATCGAGACCATCCTGGTCAACATGGTGAAACCCCGTCTCTACTAAAAATTACAAAAAATTAGCTGGGCACGGTGGCACGTGCCTGTAATCCCAGCTACTCAGGAGGCTGAGGCAGGAGAATTGCCTGAACCCAGGAGGCGGAGGTTGCGGTGAGCTGAGATTGCGCCATTGCACTGCAGCCTGGGTAACAAGAGTGAAACTCCGTCTCAAAAAAAAATAATAATAATACTAAATAAATAAATAAAAAGAGGCCCTGAGAAAGTGTACCTGAGGTAGTCGGGTTATAGTTTGGTTTTATACGTTTTAGGGAGACAGGTGTTACAAGCAAAGACATAAGGCAATACCTGGAAGGTGTATGTTGCTTCAGTCTAAAAGGGTGCGATATCTTGGGGAGGGGCTTCAAGTCATAGGTGGATTCAGAGATTTCTTGATTGGCCATTGGCTGACAGAGTTAAGCTCTGTCTAACACCTGTCATCAGTAGAAAGAAGGCTTATGATGAAGGGTTGTGGAAGCTGAGGTTGTTATCACGTAGATGAAGTTTCTTGGTTGGCAGCCCTCAGAGAGCATGCGATGTGATACCAGAGTCAGGTTGAAATTCGGTATCTTATTGCCACAGGAGTCTGTTTTGTCAGTCTTAATGGAGCAGAAACAGCTGGAAAACAAACCTCTTGAACACCGAACTGGGAAGGAAGCGGTGATTTGTTCGGTCAGGAGCAAGGCGACGTAGCTGCTAACAGCCAAGCTGGAGCTCACAGAGAAAGCCCCTGCCCTTTTAAAGGCTTACAACTCTAGAAATCACATGTGAAAGGGTCTTGGGCCATGGAGTGGGCCTGGGGTACAGTGACTTAGGTGGGGGTTTGATCTTAAGTAAAAACAGTGCCTTCCGGAAAGATTCCTCCACACCATGCCTGCCATCTATAGGAGGGCGATTAGGGTGACGCCTGGTCTGCCAGCCTTTACTTCTATTGAAATGCAGTGTGGAAGTCAAGGATGGGGATGGTCTTAGATGCTTAAGGGTGATTAAGGGTCTCCTCCCTCATTGTAATTTTTATTTTTAGGCAGACAAAATGGCTTATGCCTGTAATCCCAGCAGATCTGAGAGGGCAAGGTGGGTGGATCGCCTGAGGTTAGGAGTTTGAGACCAGCCTGGCCAACATGGTGAAACCTTATCGTCTCTACTAAAAATACAAAAATAAGCTGAACATGGTAGTGGGTACCTGTAATACTTGGGAGGCTGGTGTTAAAAAAACGTGTGCTTTGAAAGAAGAGACTCCCCAAACAGGCTTTATGTGAGCAACATGGCTACTTATTCACCTGGGTGCAGGTGGGCTAAGGCCGAAAAGGGTGTTAGTGAAGGGCAGTGGGCTAGGAGTTGGTTTTATAGGTTGGGGCAGATCTTTTGGGGAGGTGGCAGGGGCGTTGCGGAGTAAGATCTGTTACAGTGGTGGGGCTGGGGCAAGGAGTATGCATTACCGTAGGTTTAGTTACAGTGGCGGTGGGGTAAGGCAAGAGAGTAGTTAAGATGGCAGGGTGGGGTGAGGAATATTCACATTATTATAATAACAGTTAAGATGGGAGGGTAGGGTTAGAAGATTAAAGTCCAGGGGAAGCTCCACT